ATTACATTACATTACATTACATTACATTACATTACATTACTTTACATTACATTACATTACATTACATTACATTACATTACATTACATTACATTACATTACATTACATTACATTACATTACATTACATTACATTACATTACTTTACATTACATTACATTACATTACATTACATTACATTACATTACATTACATTACATTACATTTACATTACATTACATTACATTACATTACATTACATTACATTACATTACATTACATTACATTACATTACATTACATTACATTACATTACATTACATTACATTACATTACATTACATTACATTACATTACATTACATTACATACCATACATACATACATACATACATACATACATACATACATACATACATACATACATTCATACATTCATACATACATACATACATACATACATTACATAATTACATACATACATACATACATACATACATACATACATACATACATACATACATACATTACATTACATACATTACATACATACATTACATACATACATACATACATACATACATACATACATACATACATACATACATACATACATTACATACATACATACATACATACATACATACATACATACATACATACATACATACATACATACATACATACATACATACATACATACATTACATACATACATACATACATACATACATTACATACATACATACATACATACATACATACATACATACATACATACATACATACATTACATACATACATACATACATACATACATACATACATACATACATACATTTACATTACATTACATACATGTACATACATACATACATACATACATACATACATACATACATACATACATACATACATACATACATACATACATACATACATACATACATACATACATACATACATACATACATACATACATACATTACATACATACATACATACATACATACATACATACATACATTACATACATACATACATACATACATTACATACATACATACATACATACATACATACATACATACATACATACATACATACATACATACATACATACATACATACATACATACATACATACATACATACACATACATACATACATACATACATACATACATACATACATACATACATTACATTACATACATACATACATACATACATACATACATACATACATACATACATACATACATACATACATACATTACATACATACATACATACATACATACATTACATACATACATACATACATACATACATACATACATTACATACATACATACATACATATAACATACATACATAACATTACATACATACATACATACATACATACATACATACATACATACATACATACATACATACATACATACATACATACATACATACATACATTACATACTTACATACATACATACATACATACATACATACATACATACATACATACATACATACATACATACATACATACATACATACATACATACATACATACATACATACATACATACATACATACATACATACATACATACATACATACATACATACATACATACATACATACATACATACATACATACATACATACATACATACATACATACATACATACATACATACATACATACATACATACATTACATACATACATACATACATACATACATACATACATACATACATACATTACATACATACATACATACATACATACATACATACATACATACATACATACATACATACATACATACATACATACATACATACATACATACATACATACATACATACATACATACATACATACATTACATACATACATTACATACATACATTACATACATACATACATACATACATACATACATACATACATACATACATACATACATACATACATTACATACATACATACATACATACATACATACATACATTACATACACACATACATACATACATACATACATACATACATACATACATACATACATACACATTACATTACATTACATTACATTACATTACATTACATTACATTACATACATACATACATACATACATACATACATACATACATACATACATACATACATACATACATACATACATACATACATATACATTACATACATACATACATACATACATACATACATACATACATACATACATACATACATACATACATACATACATACATACATACATACATACATACATACATACATACATACATACATGCATACATACATACATACATACATACATACATACATACATACATACATACATACATACATACATACATACATACATACATACATACATACATACATACATACATACATACATACATACATACATACATACATACATACATACATACATACATACATACATACATACATACATACATACATACATACATACATACATACATACATACATACATACATACATACATACATACATACATACATACATACATACATACATACATACATACATACATACATACATACATACATACATACATACATACATACATACATACATACATACATACATACATACATACATACATACATACATACATACATACATACATACATACATACATACATACATACATACATACATACATACATACATACATACATACATACATACATACATACATACATACATACATACATACATACATACATACATACATACATACATACATACATACATACATACATACATACATACATACATACATACATACATACATACATTACATACATACATACATACATACATACATACATACATACATACATACATACATACATACATACATACATACATACATACATACATACATACATACATACATACATACATACATACATACATACATACATACATACATACATACATACATACATACATACATACATACATACATACATACATACATACATACATACATACATACATACATACATACATACATACATACATACATACATACATACATACATACATACATACATACATACATACATACATACATACATACATACATACATACATACATACATACATACATACATACATACATACATACATACATACATACATACATACATACATACATACATACATACATACATACATACATACATACATACATACATACATACATACATACATACATACATACATACATACATACATACATACATACATACATACATACATACATACATACATACATACATACATACATACATACATACATACATACATACATACATACATACATACATACATACATACATACATACATACATACATACATACATACATACATACATACATACATACATACATACATACATACATACATACATACATACATACATACATACATACATACATACATACATACATACATACATACATACATACATACATACATACATACATACATACATACATACATACATACATACATACATACATACATACATACATACATACATACATACATACATACATACATACATACATACATACATACATACATACATACATACATACATACATACATACATACATACATACATACATACATACATACATACATACATACATACATTACATACATACATACATACACATACATACATACATACATACATACATACATACATACATACATACATACATACATACATACATACATACATACATACATACATACATACATACATACATACATACATACATACATACATACATACATACATACATACATACATACATACATACATACATACATACATACATACATACATACATACATACATACATACATACATACATACATACATACATACATACATACATACATACATACATACATACATACATACATACATACATACATACATACATACATACATACATACATACATACATACATACATACATACATACATACATATGTACATGCATGCATACATACGAGAGAGGGAGAGTGGGGAGAGAGAGGCTTGGGGGGATGGGGAGGATGGGAGCAGAGGGAGGGAGAGAGGACGACAGAACACACAAGGGAGACAAGGAAGAGAGGAAGAAGGAGAAAAGGGAGAGGACAATGTCGGCGGACTGAGCCGGAGGCTCTCAAGTATTTCCTATATTCCAATATAATGATCATAATAACAATAATAACAAAAATAAAAATAATATAATAAAATAACAAAATAATATCAATAATAATAATAATAAATAAGAATATGAGAGTCCAATGCGAATGATTCAGGTTGTTTCCTGTTTTCGATTCAGGATCTCATCATCGGTCAGCACGACGCATTCAAACAATTCATCAGTGCCCATATGTTGAGCACGATCTTCCCAATACTTCTCCCCATAGTCAAAGAACAGTTCCTCGCCTTGGCAAATATCGCGGGCAGCGAGCAATTTGGCGTAATGCTGATCTGGGCCTTACTTGCCAGCAGGGGGAAAACGGACACAATTGATTGCGTGTAAATGGAAAATTCTGGAAAAAGCGACCAAGAGCTCATAAGACTATAAAAAATAGTGAATGAAAGCAAACAACGAACACAAAAAACACAACCAAAACATATCATATGCAGGATCTGAATGCTTGCAACTGGAGGGCAACAGACCAGGGTCAGGTTGTACCCCCGAGGATTTCGGCAATCGTTGATGAACCGCGCCTTGATGCCCAGGTGGGGCCCAGCATCTACCTGTCCAAAGCAATCCCAACCTTGCCCGAAATGGGGGACGTCTGTGACGCTTGAGGCATGATTGCGAAGAGCCCAGGCTCTTTAAAAGGGAAAACCAAACAAACAGATTGGGGGCTTGTAAGCACTGGTCTACCTTTTCACCCGCCTGGCAAAAGTGGGGTGTGCGAGAAGCGCAGAAAGCCTTCTCTCAGGGTGCTCCCTTTTTGTCCGATCAACAATTGTTGAATAGTTGACATGTTGCAAGTGAATTGGAGAAATCGCAATTGGCAACCAAAAATCCAAGAAGCCAACACCAAGAAGTGTCAAAACCCAAAAAGCCATCAAGCCGCGTACAAGCACGCGTTGGCAATCTCGTCCCTGGAGCCGTTGGCGCAGCCGAGGCGCATCACGTACTGCGTGTCCTCGTCAAGGAGCAGATTTGATATCCAAATGGGTGCGTGCTTTTTCTGGGTACCCCGTCTGGCTTGTTTTTAAACAGGGAAGCCATCAATTTTGGGGTTCCCTATTTTGACACACACCAAATGGTGCCATGGGAATGGGCGTGTCTTTTTCTGGGAGTATTCTGTTTGGAGTTGCGAGAAGCGGGAACAAAAGGGAAACCACCTAAGGCACCTGGGCAAGAAATCAAGCGATGTCGGAAATTGCAAAACCCACCGGCCACCGGTCCCCAAGACTTCGTGCTCTACAGCAAGCAACCGCTGGGACTCACAGACCGATGGCCGAGTTTGGAGTGCGGGTGTTGCTGCGGAACTCTTGTCCGCCGAAACACGACCAACATCCAGGGGTGCAAACAGCGAGCGGCATTTTGTCCGCTCTTCTGTTGCTGCAAGCAGTCTGCATTTGACCTTGGTCTCAAATGCGCATCCCTTGTGCTGGCGTTGGCCGTTTTGGCGCCTTTATTTTGAGCTGAGTTTCGTCAGCTTCATCGACGTTTCGAAGGGTGTGGCTGCCCTTGTTGCAAAGTACTTGCCTGGCAAGAATCACAAGCACTGGTCGTCGACATTGCCAGCATGACACGGCATGGCCAGCATCACTGGCAGCACCATTCAGGTTAGACAGATAGTGACCCCTGTTTGTGCTTTTTCAAAAGGACCACCTATTCCTTCAACAAACAGAATCCCGAACGATCTGGGCGCCACAATCCCCTTTGCAAAGAGCCCTAGCAACCCCCAACCCCCGGCGCCTGCAACTTCAATGAGGACCTCAAGCTGTGCAGGTCGCCCCCATAGTGCGCAACCAGCTCGCCTTGCTGGAAAACAAAACTTGCTGCTCGCTGCATAACCCATGGCAGCTAGAAACCTATCATAGCCGCTGGTGTCGCGTATGTCGAATTGGAGTGTGTGAGTAGGACCCTAGAACATGGGTGGGTTCTTTCTTGGTGGCGCAGGGCCAAATAGCTTCTGGAAAAGATGGGCAACCGAAACTATTTGCGGTGTCTATTTCCCTACCCCAAACGAACGGCAACCAAAACTCGTTGCCTGTGTAGTTTCCTTTGTCCCGAAACAGGGAAGTGGAGGAGACCCTTGCCACTGGAGTCCGTTTCTGGAGGAAGCTGCTTGACCCTAGGGAAACAAAGAACCCTAAAAGAGGAAACAAAATGGCGTTGGGAATAGTGAAGTTCCAAGCCCCATATGGTGTTCCTACGATAAGACAGATGCCAATTCTTCCAGGGTCTCAGCCGTCACGCTCTATCACGGCGGTACTTCTTGGAGACGGTGTGGCATGATTCCAAGGCGAAACAACCTGTTGGGCGTGATTCCAAACATTTGGTCAACAAGGCAATCCAAGAAGGAGCACACAAAGGTCATCTGTTTCCGTTTGGTTCTTCCAGCGGCGACTTTATTGCGAGAAGAGAACGCAGCCTTCCCAATAAGGACCCCCCTTCAGCGTAAGGGAAAACATGTTTCGTGCATCCATCTGGCTTGTTGGACCCCAGGGTGGGGCAAAGCTGGTGCGTCGGAGGTTGTCCATGAGTTCAGTTCAACCGTGTAAACACCAACGCGTGTTGACAGCTTGGTGGATTTGCTCGATTGAAACAGCTCGCTGCTTTGTACAATAGATCACCAATCCAACCAACCAGCGAATGGCTCAACCATGGCTTCGGCTATCCCATGGCTTCCCTCCCCGGACCTTGCGCCAAGTCCTCGCCCGCAAAGAGCCCCAGCCCCGCGCGGGGGCCGAGGGTGGAGCTCTGCACCACGAGCTGCGAGGACTCCATGGGCGGAAGGGCGGCCGAGAGCCTCGGAGATTCTGAGAACGAACCTCGGGTGGAGAACTCGGTGCGACCTCCAAACAATAAGGAGGACACAAAAATGCGGAGGGGACTCGCACGTTGGAGAACAGAACCTGGAAAGGACAGCCCTTTTACACCAAAAAGGGGGGCAGATACGGTTTTGCCCCATCCAAAAGGGTGGTGTCCATTTGTCATGGGGAATCTGGCACCGCCGTTTTCGCGTGCTTCAAAAAATGAGGGACAACCCGGCGGAATCCGAAGGGACACTTCCGAAGGGAAACCAACCCACTTTTTGATTCTGAGTTCCCCGTGTTTCCTTTTTTATTTTAAAGGCTGTCCGCCCTTGGTAAGCAGAGTTTTGGAAAGAGGTGGGTTAGCGCTCACTTCTGGTAGAGCAGCAGATGTCCAACTTGGCGAAACATAGGAAAGCAGAAAGGGAAACATGTTCACTGCTTTAACCCAGTAGCTGCTGGTTAAAGGGAAACATGTTGAAAGAACAAAGCCTATCACCTTGGCATTCACTCGAGACTAGCATTTGAAAGTGAAGTGGGCCCAGGCCAGGATGAAGCGAAACAGTCTGCTTCGACATGTTCCAACCGCACCTTGTCCAAGCTTGTTCCTTCCAATGTCCATTCGAAATACGCAGAAGCCATTATTTAAGGCACATAAACAATACTCATCGCAAAACAAGGAGTAAAGATTCTAGATATTGGAAACAAACAAGCAACAACTCAACCGGTTGACCCTGTTTCAGAAGCCCCCCACCCCCACCCGCCACCACCTGTGACCTCCCACCCAAATCCCGGAGTCATTGTAGTTCCAACTGTTGCACCAGCTGCATGGCAAACGTGAAACTGCTGTGTTTAAACATCAAGCAGCACGAAAGTTCAGTCAAGGTTGGCCCAGAACAAGAGGTTTGAACCGCCCATGCATACATGTTGTTGTTTTTTAAACAAGAACAAACATTACCCAAACATCCAAGTACATCTACAAAGGTGAATATATGCGTGTGTATATATATATATATATGCATGTGCATGCAGCACATGTATGTGTACATGTGGGTGTGTGTATATTAATATGTATATGTGTCGGTATATCATGTAGTAAATGTATATGTATGCACACGTGTGGACATGTAAGCATGTGTGTACATATGTGTGTATGCGTACTTGTATGTATGTATGTGTGGCAACATCATATGCGTGGTGTATGTCTGAATCTATGAATGTATGAATGTATGAATGTATAAATGTATGAGTGTATAAATGTATGAATGTATGAATGTATGAATGTGTGATGCATGAATGTATGTGGGTATGTAGGTATGTAGGTATGTAGGTATGTAGGTATGTAGGTATGTAGGTATGTAGGTGTGTAGGTATGTAGGTCTGTAGGTATGTAGGTATGTAGGTATGTCGGTATGTAGGTGTGTAGGTATGTAGGTATGTAGGTGTGTAGGTATGAGGTATGTGGGTATGTAGGAATGTAGGAATGTAGGTATGTAGGTATGTAGGTATGTAGGTATGTAGGTATGCAGGAATGTAGGTATGCAGGAATGTAGGTATGTAGTTATGCAGGTATGTAGGTATGTAGGTAATCGCCCCCTGCATCACAGAGTTCAAGTGGGAACAAGAAAAAGACAGACAAAGCGAAATCGAGCAGAGATCATGAAATCTTTGCGCGCTTCAAGCAAGAGCAGCTTTGGACTATTTCTCATCGCCTCCTGCCAGTGCCTGCAACATAAGCCTGCCGACCGCTGGTGCGTCACGAACTCACAAATGCGTGATCCAAATCTTCCACCTTCTACGACAAGCTTTCTGAATAGAAGCGCAACAAAACCCCGAGTCAACCAACCTTTTGTGTCCAATGCTTCTGTTGGTTCAATGAAGCATGCGCAACTCCTTCTGCAAGTGCCAGAAGCATTTTGTAGGTCATGTTATCCCAAAAAACAACATAAACCTTGTCTTCCTGGATATGTATGTGTGACTAGGTATGCCTGTGTCTGTGTGTCTGCGTATGTCTGTGTCTGTCCGTCTGTGTGTCTGCGTATGTCTGTGTCTGTCCGTCTGTGTGCCTGCGCATGTCTATGTATGTCTATGTATGTCTATGTATGTCTATGTATGTCTATGTATGTCTATGTATGTCTATGTATGTCTATGTATGTCTATGTATGTCTATGTATGTCTATGTATGTCTATGTATGTCTATGTATGTCCATGTATGTCTATGTATGTCTATGTATGTCTATGTATGTCCATGTACGTCAATTTTCTGCATGTATGTTGATGTTTGCGTGAGTATACCAACAAATGTTTATATATATATATATGTCTGTGTACGTCTATCTATGTACGTATGTATATCTATGTATGTATGTATGTATGTATGTATGTATGTATGGAAGTATGTACGTTTACGTGTGTCTATCTATCTATCTATCTATCGACCGATCGATCGATGTACGCATGCACGTATGTACGCATGTGTATCAGTGTGTGTGTGTGCGTGTATAGGCGTGTGTATGTATATATGTATCTGTGTATGTGTAGGCAAGTATGTATCCATGCAACTATGTATGTTCTCTGTATGTGTGTGTGTGTGTCTGTGTATAGGGGTGTCCGTGTGTGTGAGTGTGCCTATGTCGTTGCATGCCTCTAAGTGTGTGCGTATGTGTGTATATGTGTACGTCTGTGTGCGCGTGTGTGTCCGCATGTGCGTATGTGTGTATGTTGGTATGTGTGCGTGTGTGCGCGTGTGTGTATGCGTCTCTGTGAGTCTGCATGTGTGCGTGCAAGTGTGTATGTAGGTACGTGTATGTGTGTATCGTGGTATATACGTATGTGTGTATGTGTGTATGTTTGTACGTGTGTATGTGTGCATGCGTGTATGTGTGTGTGTGTATGTGTATGTGTGTATGCGATGCATGCATGCATGCATGTATATATATATATATACATGTATGTATGTATGTATGTATGTATGCATGCATGTATGTACATTGTATGTATGTATGTATGTATGTATGTATGTATGTATGTATGTATGTATGTATGTATGTATGTATGTATATGTATGTATGTGTATGTATGTATGTATGTATGTATGTATGTATGTATGTATGTATGTATATGTATGTATGTGTATGTATGTATGTATGTATGTATGTATCTATCTATCTATGTATGTCTGTCTGTCTGTCTGTCTGTCTGTCTGTCTGTCTGTCTGTCTGTCTGTATGTATGTATGTATGTATGTATGTATGTATGTATGTATGTATGTGTGTGTGTGAATGTATGTATGTACGTACGTACGTATGTATGTATGTATGGATGGATGGATGTACGTATGTAGGTAGGTTGGTAAGTCCGTACGTATGTACGCATGGCTGTGCGTATGTATGAACGCATGAATGGGTGTATGTCGGCCGGTAGGTCAGTCGGTCTGTCGGTCCATCCGTCCGTCCGTCGGTCGGTCTGTCAGTCTGTGTCTGTCTGTCTGTCTGTCTATGGGTCGGTCGGTCGGTCGGTGGGTCGGTCTGTCTGTCTGTTTGTCTGGCTGGCTGGCTGGCTAGCTCAGTTGCTCCTGTATGTAAGTGTGTGTGTGTGTGCAAAAAGTTGCTTGAAAGGGCAATATCTCCTCAAGGAGCTCTCGCCGAGCCCGTTCCACCCTGGCCCGCAGCTCCGGCAGGTTGTCCATCTCCGCCTCCAACAAATCCGCGTCCTGAGGCCAATGATTTGCCGCACTTCCCGAGAGGATGTCGGGGATTTTGTTTGCTACCTGGCGATGTATAGGGAAGCCCCCCCCCCCCCAATGTTGAGAACCCCTCAAAATGATCCCTTTAAGTGAACTAGGACTTGGCAACCACAAAAGGCCAATCCAAGTATGTCATCACAACTCTTTGACTACCACTTTTATGTTCATAATTGTTGTTACTTGCTGATCACCACTTGATGTTCACCACATGCTGTTCGATACATAATTATTAGTCCACTGTTTGTTGTTCATTGCCAACTGTTCATTGCTTTGATGATGACAACGTTTTATTCACTATGCAACTCCGTCGCCCAAGGAAAAGGCTACTCCAACTATCTCTCGAGGGACCCGCGCAAGGCTGCCTCATAGCTCCATGATTCATCGGTAATCTGGAGCACAATATTCCTATTCCCCCCCCAAGCAGCAGGCACCGCGTTAGCATCTCGAAGGGCAACGAAATGAACAGGCCCAAACTGGTACGAATCTTTGTTGGGGGCCATCATCTATATGGGGAATCATGTCCACCAACCATTTTCCAGCGTTCTTCAAACCATCAAACATCTGTGTGACATAAGGGAAAAAAGCAAATCAAGATTCAGGCAAAACCAGGGGCTTTAACTCCAAACGTGGGTGGCTTTAAAGTAAAAGCGAAGGACGGAAACACCATGTTAGTGGCGCCCCAACTTCTAAACACGGCCACTTGAAGATCGCCCAACCCTTTTTCATGGATCTTCTCATTCAATCTGAGCCGTACCCGAATGTTGCTATGTCCTTTTGGTTTCCCTTCAAGGTACTTGGGTGTTCTCTGCCCACACCAAAAATAGACAACACTGGTATTGTCGGTGATTCATATGAGGGAATGTGATTAGAATAGCCTAAAATTGAGGCTTCTACAAAAATAGCACGCCTACAACGTCGACTGCCGGATTCACAGGGGTTCCTCCAAGTGCAGGGTTCCCCCTGAACGGGGTACCCAGAAAATCTCGAGTTGTGCTTTGGAAACGCCCTTGGCATGCCATTTTGGGGCTCCCCTCTTTTTGTCGAACCCAGGGTTTCGCCTCGCCCGCTCCAACGTCCTCCGGGAACTCTGCCGGGTCCGGTCGCACCGCGAGATCCAGCCACCGCTCCAGCGCCGCGAGACGCCTCCAGCTCCGCGCGTAGTGCCCATGCTCCAGCGGCGCCAGGCGGAACATGAGCGCCGGGGCGGCGAAAAACGCCCTCAGAAGTCCGCCTAGGCCCCACCTCATAAAGGTTCACATCCTCGGGGGAACTAGATGGGGTTGACGGTGTTGGCCTAAGATGGGCTGTTTCTTAGAGTTGGGCACCTGTTTGGGCATGGCTTCACTCCTACGCTGATCATCAAGATTCAGCAACTTGAATAAAGGAATCTTCATAGTGGGCAAGCTCGCTATAGAGGGCGATTCCAATTGATAGAGCGCGCTTCCAATTGTTGGTGTTTCCCTTTGAGGTTCCGCAGCCTTTCTGCATTGGTTTCAAGGGACACCAACGGAAAATGACTGAACTGTGAAGTGTTCTCCTATTTAGAGGCAAACCTATAATTATCTCGCCCAAACAAAATTGACCGAACTGCAACCATAGCGCTCTAGCATCTACATTCACCGCACTTGCTTTCTTTGCCATTGTGGCAATTTGGGCAAATGCAACACGTGCAATGTGCAGACAAATCCGACGCTACGCCGGGCAGCACAGCTATGCGTCAGAATCTTCAGAAAGCATTGAGTTGCCGGGGGTGACAGCTTTAGCATTTCCTGACTCGGAATTTCCTATCCACTTACACCAGGGTGGTGAGAGCAGATCTGTATGAGCAGGATCCCCCCCCTCAGCACCATCGAATAGCCTGGGAGGATTGGACCAAACTGTTGGGTGTTGTTTGTTTTGTTTGAGGCTCGCACCGTTGTCGGATTGTAGAGGGAACCCAAAGAACAACTCCTTTGTCTGGGGTGCCTACTTGGCTTTGTAAGTTTTTGTTCCAGTAAAGTCCTGCAGCCGGAGGGCGGAAGTTTCAATCACATGTCCCCTTCTCTCACTGTCTCTCTCGCTCTCTCCCTCTCTCTCTCTCTCCCTTTCTGTTCCTGCCCCATCTCTTTCTTTCCGTTCTGTTTCTCTGTTTCAATTTGTTTCTCCTTCTCTTCTTCTTTCTCCTTCTTCTTCTCTTACTCTTTCGCTCTCTCGCCCTTTTTCAATTTCTCTTTCTCTTTCTCTTTCGCTTTCTCTTTCTCTCTCTCTCTATCTCTCTTTCTTGCTCCCTCCCTGGCCCCCTCCCTCCACCCCCAGCCCACGAAAGCCAAAACTGCAAAAAGCGCTGCGACTTTCATGGCTGACCTTCCGAAAGCCCAAAGTCCGCAGAGGGCCCTGCGAGAGAAGTGAAGTAGCTGTGGCGAGGTGCACATTTACCCGCAATGTGTTGTCCAATTGTCCTTTTGCAGGGGGTCAGAAGATGTTGTTTCATGCGCCAAGGCCTCGCCAACCAACTTTTGAAGAAGAACATGAAATCCAGAACCAAGGGACACCTGCCCTCAAATATAAATATATATATATATATATGTATTCAGCCCAGTTCTTCTCCTAAAAGCTCAGGAGGAACTTTCGACGCCATGCTTGGGACACCTACAAAACCTGCCAAGTCCCACCGGCTCGTTCCACTCGTCGGGGCGCCTTCACCCCAAACCACTAGGCCCAGTTCGACCTTTGGCAGCCATAGTGTGGGTTTGTTGTTCACTGGGTACCATTTTTTGGGGTGGTTCAGAAAGCGAAACCAGGTGTCCGAATTCCAAAACACCCCGACAAACGTTACGCAGTAGCCTCGGTTATGTATATATATATATATATATACGCCCACACACACACACACGCTACCATGATTATCTCTACGATTATCTCTACCAACCCAACTAATCCCGTTTTTTCCTTCGTGGCACATATGTTGCACAGTTGTCTGTGCGGTTTTCAGGGCAAACCCATTGTGGAAACCTTCAAGGTCGCCTTCAGGTTGTGGATCTTCAGGTAAGTTTAAGTTTGACGTAAGCAGGGCCCCAAACCCATTGACTTGCGCAGTTCCACACAAACTCTTAAAGAGATGTTGAAGCCTTACCACAATCGTTGCGGGCGACATTGACCTTGAGGTATTGCCTCAAGCCTTCCCCAAATGAAAGGCCTCAATCCCGTCGCCCGTTCACCTCGTCACCTAGTCACCTCTGCTTTCTGCGAGATCCGTGCCATATGAACTGAGCCACATCCGTCTTGGATGGAAAGTTGGCAACAATCAGGAGAGCCGAAGGGTGTTTCTCAAGACTTCCTTCTGGTGGTTTGGTTGCCTTTCGGCTCCCTTGAAAAAAATCAACAAAAGAAACCTCTGTTTAAGAAACACCCAAAGCTTGGACAGAGATTTGGAAACAACCTCGGCTGCCGGGGAAACACCCTCAGCTGGCCCCCTGCTTCTTTGTCTGGTTTCCACGGCCCTTCTTTAGGGTGGTCCTTCGCGCCATCCCTGTAGACTAGCTCTGCAAGAGGAGATGCCCACTTTATCGGCCTCTTCCAAACACTGCCCTTGTCATTCATCAACCTGCAAGCCAAAATACTTTGTGAGGTCGCCATAACTTGCGGTGCGACAAACTGGCTTGGGGGGGAAGTGCTCGCCCGGCAGCGAAGGATTTGTCTGAAATGGCTTTGTTGGGTACGCGCGGCGATTAGTCCAAAAGGGCCCGGGCCAAGACCACCTTTTGAGCCTTGGGCGTTCGCCCTCGGGGGAAGCGAGCGAGCTCGCCAGCTCAATCCCCGACGCGGCGATAGGATTCCTTATGAATAATTGACTCTTGCAATCCCCACAGCGCTATTGCAATGTATATAAGCCACCGCAAAAGCGCTGGAAGACCTGGCAGCTTTCAATTACTTCGTTCGCTAGTCTCTGTCTTGGACCTGCTGTGAATTGGCGCCTCCTCCAGAGGCATATCTTTGCCAAAGTTCATTTCTTGGATCTTTGTCTGGAATCTGCAACCCACATGGTTCTCCCCCACAAATCCCAAAATGGACCCGGTTTGCAGGCACAACGTTTGCGGGACTCGAGAGACTTGCAGAGGGAAACCCAAGAGCTCGCTGCCACTCCATGCGCGGGGAAGGCCTCGATCGCCTCCCCTAAAAAATCTCTCGGCCGGAGCTTCCTGGAGCGCTGCACCTTCCGCCTTTCGGCCTATGCACTGCCTTGAGAGAACCCAGCCCTCGTGAGGATCACTTCGGCCCCCCCCAAAAAAAAAATGGAGGACGAGCGGAAAACTCTTTCACCCCCCAGGCTGGCGCTGCTTTGGGGTTGGGGGCTGTGGGGGTGTCTTTCTTTGCGTGCAAAGTTTGACGCATCCGTTCACATACAACTTCTTGCTGGCGATCCCTGGAGCAGTTGTGGGCGGGGGGCTGTGTGGAAGGGGGTGGGTCTTGTGTTGCCAGCAAAAAAGAACGCAACATCTTTATCCACATGCCCTCAAAAGCTCCAAGTGGAACTATAACACGGAGCAACATTTGGGGGCCAAAGCGATCCAAGCCCTCCGAACAGGAACTCTGTGTCAAGCCAACGCAACCGCTAAATAAGGATAACCACCATGTGCTCAAGTCCTGTTCCACAATGGTCTACGCAAATAAGCTAGAACTCATGTCGAAAAAAAACGATATATCCATGGAAGGCGCAATGTTAAACATCAGGAAGGCCCACAGATTCGACGATTTGTCTCGGGCCAACCTGCGAGGGGTGGCCCTAGACGGAAGTCGCATTTGCTCGCCAAGCCAGAAGGCAGCTCGAAGGAGCAGTAAAAACCGGTCCTCATGTCCCCTGATGTACTTTATCAGGCAGGGTGTTTAGAGATTCCGTGTGGTGAGTCATGCCCCGGAAGTTGTGATGCCTTTTGCGGATTCCAACCCTGAGGGGACCTTATTGGGTGAGCTCGTTTTGCCCTGGTATCATTTGCCCAGTAACTCGTCTAAGATTGCCTCCCGTTTTGGTGAGCCCAGGAACTCAGAGACTGAGCTGGGGAGCCACTTGTCGCATTGGCTCTGAGGCTCGCAGCTGAAGTCTGAGAGCTCACCCAGCCAAATGGATTACCAGAATTCGGGGCCTTTCTGTGTATCCTCTTTACAGGCGGCTTCTTTGGCAGAGACCCAGAAGGAACCGTCCATATTGTTGACCACTCTCCACGCTGAAGCCTCAGTCGTAATCAAACCCTGGTACCAAACACATGTAGAGAATTACGAGGGCGGCCTGTTTATGGCAGGGCCCAGCCTTCATCTACCCAAATCGGTTTTGATCAAGTGGCTCTCATGCTGAAAGCTACCCAGCCAAACAGACTTCTTGCATGGTTGCCGGGTGGAGCTCTCGCAGCAGTGATCTACAAGCACCCAAATCAGAATGGGGGTTTGGTTTGGGGTGCTTTTCAACCAAAGGTTGGAAGGGAACGCTGTGAAATGATTTGGCTCCTTGTATTGCTGGTCTGACTTGGTTCGGAAAAATGCCACAAAGGATGTCCTGAGAGATGGATGCTTGCAGCTGCTCTCCTGATCTGAGGCACAGATTTGAGACTTGTGTCTGCAAAAAGGACACTGGACAAATTGTGACCCAACCTCGTTTTGTTTTGCCCTGTTGCAATTTGAACTGCTTCCTTCGAGCACGGCAAGCGCCCGCCTCATTCACAAAGACCGCCGAAGATGCGAGCGGCACTACTAGTAGCCCAAGGAGCTACAAGCATGGCAGGGTGCATAGCGAAGGTCCTTTTTGTTCCTGAATTTATGCGCCAAAAGTCCCAGAGCCAAACAGGAATCAAATGTAAGGGGTCTGGTCGCCAAGCGCCACCGCACCCTCTGCTCAGTAACGGGATGATCTATCCTGGGAGGTTCACTAACCTCGAGGGCCGACCCAAAGAAAAGGGATGCGCCACCACTTGTGACCTCTACAAGAACCAGGGGTTCAAACCCGCACCAACCAACAAACATGTTTTCAGCTCAAACAAAAGCCGACCCTCCAAAAAGCGCGAAGCGACTGTGTCTTCCTCCCTGTTTCGACGGGCAACCTCCCGGGAGAACAGCCGATTTCCGGCTCTTGAAAGTAACCGATGGAGCGCCAAGCCTCGAGCTTGAGCTCCCACAGGGAAGCGCCCATCTGCCCGACCCACACCTTTGGCTTCAACATGGCAACACCTCCAATGCGCGTGAACCCCTGCGGATTTCTGGCTTGCCCCACAACGCTAACAGCACCCATGAAAACCGGCTTGCATTGAAATGGCAAATGACTACAATTGTGCTGGAAGCAAGCAATCGGCAAGTAAGAGATGCTCATGGGTGAGCTAGTTGTTTCACGGTTGAGCTCGTTACTTTTTGTGCAGGTTGTAAAGTCAGGCACGATGGGCGCGACACTGGCAGTCGTTAATGGCTGAAACTCTCGCAATGTACTTGTTCAGGCATCAGGGCATCGGGGCACGGGCCAAAGGCTCACCAGTCTGGTTGCCAAGTGCGGGGAGCCAAAGGTGATTTGGTTGTGTCAAAATAGGGACCCCCTTGAACAGGGTACCCTCGCAAAAACCACGTACCCATTCTGACAACTGACAAACCGGACCCAAAGCACGAGCCTGGATGCCCCCCTCAAAGGGACTCGTTGCTGGCTTGATTCGTTCGCGCGTCACCTGACGAGGGGGCGATCAATCCTTCTTCTCGCTCGTGAACGTCTCCAAAGTCTGCAACCTGGGCACGCGCCGGCCAGCTCTCAGGGACCCCACCAAACACCTCCCAAAGGCCCCCCAAAGGTGGGTTCTTAGAAGGGTTCTTAGAATCCTTCTGCGGCTTCCAACAGATCGTCCATCCGTCCGTCCGTCTGTCCAGCCGTCCGTCTGTGGCCGTGTCTCTCCAGATTTTTCCGGTGGATGGCCTTTCTAGGCCTTCCGACAGCTTCTCTACGGCCAGCAACAACTCCCCGGCACCGACCTGACGGTTGAAACGGCCGAAGACACCTCCCGATATGTTCCAGGTTCCGGGTCCCCTCCCCCCCTGTGGGGTTGGTTGAGGCCGGAAATAGTTCGGGAGTCTTCGTGGTTCAACTGGGTCGGGACGCTGCCCTAAATGAACGGCACTGGCAAACGGTTAAAATTGAAACCAGTTTTGGCACCATGAGCATTGTAGGGAGCACTCAGGGTCTATTTTGCAACCACCTTCGAACACAAAAACTACCTGGTCACTTCCCCTTCTGAACATATCAGGAGAGCGTCACTGGGCGTATCAAGCCACGTTTGGCTTCAGTTCCCTTCTTCACGAGTACAAGCCTCGGCTGACAGCAGGCTACCGCAATGGATCTGAGTGTGCTTGTTGCTGGCTTGACGAGAATCCGAGTCGTGCCTAGCATCAAAGTCGTAGCGTCAAACTGCAAAATAGCGGTCCCAAAATAAATGATATTCGGATTCCGTCGTAAATGGGATGCCCCCGGATAATGGTCAACCAAAGGGTCATTGACTCCGCCTTCCCACCGGGCTCATGCTGTCCGGTCTGGCGACACCTCCGATTTGTGGCTGGCCACTCACGACTCGCGACTCGCCTCCCGAAGCTTTCGGAGCTTCTCCACCGCCCCCGCCTGGCGCTTCACGGTTCGGCTCGGAAGCCGTGCATCGGGGTAAGCAATGGAAAGACATGGATGGGCAGTAGGGTTCCCAACAAGGAAGCATAGCCGTCCAAAACCCTCCACACCTAAATGGAGGGGTGGCCCTTTACCTGGGTTGTCCGTCTCACGGAGCGCCTCCACAGCCAGCCGACAGTAACCTCAGCGTTTGTTGGTCCGACGGCTTGTTCGGGGACCCTGCGAGGTCAGGTATCTTGCAAAAAGTCGCACGTGTTCTTTGTGTGAAAACACGTGGATATACATGTACAAGTACACACTTGTGTATGCATATACACAGTCAGAATGACTTGTTATCCAAGAAACCGTGGGAATATGAATGACTGCGCTTGGGAAACCCTTAGAGTGGCAGCATGAAACTGCCATACTTGATCCTTCTCAAAAGGCAAACAGAAGGATCCCTGCGTCTTGCACCCCTGCTGCTTACCCTCCAAAGAGCCACACGTTTGATGGCGCACGTCTTTCCAGGCGTTCCCTAAAACCGGATTTGCGCCCCTACCAAAGCTCAAACATCCAAGGGTGGTCAAGTGACCTGCTTGTCATTTGAGGTGAGTATTGGGCGCCTTACGGACAAGTATGGTGGTTCCGCTTCCTGTTGGCTCACCGTTCATCTTCATTCGGAGAAGAAAAAAAGTGGAAAGGGACTCCAACAAAACATGCGTTTCAGTTTGGGTGTGGTCGCTATCCAAACGGGAGGTACCGAATTTCGATTGGCACATTCTGTTCGGGCTCTCGGTTGATGTCCGGCACCCTGCTTCTACCCACCCGTGCAAGAAACATTGTGGTCCTTTTGACATCTGCGTGGGGAATGCCTTGGGTACACCCAATGAGGTATCCCTTATTTACAACAGCGCTGATGGGTTTGCAAAACCAAACGGAAACTCAATGTTTGAGTGAATGGGCTGGAACTGTCCAGGTCTTTGTTGACCAGAATCCTCCAACAAGTGCGAAGTTCAGGGGAGGAAGAGAATGGCCTAACCTCAAAACGAAGGCATTCTGACGCGTCAGGACAAACAAGGACCACTGCAAGATCAAGCAACTCTGTCTGGCGCCAGTTTCGGACTCTTCTACTGCAAGACTCCATCTGTTCATGCAAAGTTTGGCATGAGCCTTCGGCTGGTCGGCCCCCGCCAGCTCAGATCCAGATCTGGGCAGCCCGGCGATCGAAGGCCTTGCCGTCCTGATCCGCGGTCCTTGGATGCTGCCACTGCTAGATTTCTACCAACGAATGACAAAGTTTCAAAGATGGGGCCTATTGCTCACACTCATTTCCTTAGCGCGTTGGCCGGACAAGTCCGACCTTGTTTCGGCCACTAAACTGATCTTCCCAAAAAGTACAGAAAGTAGGAAGTCTAGGAACTCGTGGAGAGATTAGGCCGGCCCCATTCGTCCCTCGTGTGACAAGCTCCTTAACTAACCTCAGGCGAAAGGAGTTAGTTCGCCTCAATCTTGGGCTTTGGGCGGCGGGGCAAGTTTCAGAGGGTTTCGGGCACGGGGTGTTGTTGAGAAAACCCCTTGCGGCTTGCTTTCTTTACGGCTTTGCACCCTACTTTCACAAACGATGGCCAAGGGCTTCCTGGATGGTATCTGGGGCTCTGAGCCGTGCCTGTCCGGGCCCGGCCACTGGCGGGAGCCTCAAGCTTCGGGCTGTCGCGGCTGTCTTGGCTTGGTCATTGGGGGAAGCCTCGGGCTTTGGGCTGTCGCAAGCTGTCCGTCACAAGCTCTGTCACAGCTGTCTGTCACATCGGTCTGTCACATCTGTCTGGCTCTGTCGGCGGGCGGGCTTGTTGAGGTCGGATGTCATTTAATCTAACAACCCCAAACCTGTCAAAAACACATCACCCTCTGTTCTCTTTTTGGGAATGAAAAACCTATTGGCTATGTAGCAGCCAGTTCAAGAATCAGCTGGGTTCAACCCTTCAGTGCGTGGCAGCACAGACTGAGAGCCGGGCATGTCCTCCAAGTTCCAGACAGCCTACGTCCGACCAGCTGTCATGTTTTGAGGCTAGGCTTTTCTAGCGTATTCAAGCACACCTCCTGCCAACCAGCCTTCTTTTTCCCCAAATCGGAATCCCCTTTGAAAGTGATCTTTGATTCTTCATGGAGGCTGCAAAAGAAAAACAGCCAGCCTCACCCATCCACTCGTCCATCCCAAGCCCCGCAATGGCCACCGCCCCCGTGCTTTCCCCAACGACCAGAATTCTTGGGGTCTGTTGTCCAAAGACAAAGACGGGGTACCAGGTACCACAGGCTGCCTCCAATAGCAGGTCGTGATCGTGGTCCTTGGACACGTCCAAGGGGAAATCCTCCGGTCCCGCTGGTTCGAGGTGCAGGGACACTACAAACCACCCCACCCAAGGGAGGGCTCAATAAGCCTTTTCAGTGGCCATAGGTGAACTAAGAGGCTGCCGTGTTTAACCCGAAACTGCGAAGTTCCAGCCGCACTTTTGCGGCTTGGCCTCCAGACAATAAAAGTTGGCTTTATTGAGAAAACCAGCTGGCAAATGGCAAAGAGTGAAGGTTTCAACGCCTCTTTTGTTTGTTGCGCCCCCTTATTGTCACAGAATTAACCAACCGCTCTATTCATCCACTTGGTTTCCTTCAGAGAAGCAAGTAGTTGAACATCACTTACGCTCACCTTGCTTCAACTCGCAAGAACCCCAAATCCGGAGCCCTGGGAACTCTTGGGAACTGTTGGAAACCATTGGGAACCCTTGAACCCCCAGAACAAAGACAGGGAGATGTATATATATATATACACACCCTTGATACAACCCCGGGATTGCCTCTGGTTTGATGCACCTGGGGATTCCCAAGGCAAAAACACTTGGTTCAGATGGGTTCCATGTCTTTTCTTGAGGAGACCCTGTCTGGGATGGTTGCCCAAAGTACACCACCTATTTTGGGGGGTCCCCATGTTCTGACTCGTTTCCCTATCGAAACCGTTGAATATCGCCCCTTGGCGCAACCTCGGCCCCAGTTCCCCAGATCCGGGGTCCAGCTGGCCCACCATCACGCCGATACCGCCCAACTCGGCCAGGTGCTCGTGGCAGGCTTCGCATTCGGTGCCTCCCGATCCGGTGCCTTGAAACCCGGGAAACCAACCACATAGGTGCGCAGCCAGGGCAAGGTTCTAGAACCAACAGGGAAACCAAAGCCCTTTCGCAAAAGGGCCGAGAAAGGGATAGGAGAAACCAACGCGCCATGTGACGGCCTCCCTGGAAAAAACACAACAAAAACAACTTCACAAAAAGACGGGGAAACCAGCAGGAGCAATCCCAACAGAGCAAAAGGAAACCCGGGCAAAGACACAAGCCACGGGCGGTATGGATGTTTCCGGGGAAACATGGCATCTTGGAAACCAGTACAGCTCTGTCTGCAAGAACAGGAAGCTTCGGAATTGGGGATGTCCTGGTCCCCTGACCCACCCGCAAGTTTGGCAACGACCCTAACTACCTGGGTTTTGACGGCTTTGGAGCGAAACCAATAGTTTGTTGCTGGAGGGTCACGGGGTTGCTCCCTTCCAACTGGAAACCAAAAGGCCTTCCCGAAAGCGATGTTTCTGACAACGGGTCGGTGTTTTCCGTAAATCTAAAAAACCTAAGAACCATTGTCCAAAAGCCCAGCATTGCATACCCTTGGCACATCAATGTCCTCTCTGTCTGGTGCCATGGATTGTGAGGGAATTCGAGGACGGCGGCGGACCGGGCCCCCTGTTTCAGCCAACCCATCTAAGCCACGGTCAAATTTACTTGTTCCCCAAAAGCACACGTTCCCTTGCTTCTTGCGGGGAAATTTCGTGGCTCGTCCCCTCCTGTCCGTGAATGAGCCAGAGCCTATTGCGTATATTGGACCAGCCTCGTTTGGCATGGGGCCGAACAAAGATTGATGGAACCTCTCGGGCGCCGGGCACATATTCCGCAGGCACGAGGCTGCAGCTCCTCTCGCGGCTGACATCCGAATTGGCTCAGATGTGGATGTGACTTGGGGTGGTTGGCGTCCCGTGTCTGGAAATCCCAGGTCCAAAAATATGATGTTCTGATTATGTTCCATATTTCGTCTACGGAGGAGACCCAGGTGTGCTTGAAAGCGGCTTTGTTGAAAGACGGTCCTTAGGGCTTGCGGTTCTCTTGTGGATGGGGGAACCTCTTCAACATCAACTGCCCAAAGAACAGGTGCGGGATTTTCACATGGCCAGAGGGGACTAGTATTGCGGCCAATCCATGTGATCTGCTTCGACCCCCTCGGGACTTCTTAGCATTACTGCGCAGGGCTCGTATTTTGGAGCTATCGATTGCTAAGCTCCGACCACGGTCCCGTTTCCCCAACTTGCACACTCAGGAACGGAAAGTGAACCCTCTGCACAAAATTGTGCCTGCGGCATACCTTGTTCTTCTGCGTTTCACCACAAACCCTAAACTTTGAATCCCACATCGTGCGCCGAGCACTAAACCTAAACTCTAAGAACCCTAAACCCAAACGCTAAGAACCAAAACCCAACAACTTCAAACCTGAGCCCCACAAGCTCTAAACCAAAAACTTGAAAGCTCTCTAAACCTAAACCCTCACAACTCTAGACCCAAACCCTAGACACCCTTGACCTGATCTAAAATTCCTGAACCTCCACCCTAAAGAACCTTTTACAACTCCAAACCCCAACACCCCCAAACCCAAACCCTCAAAACCCTGAACCGAAACCTAAAACCCCAAGCTTAAGCCTTAAAACCCTAGACACCCGAAACCTCAACCCTAAGAACCACAAGTCTAAACCCCAACACCCCATTGCCTTCTCCCTCAAACCCTGAACCTAAACCCCAACAACTTTAAACCAAACCCCTAAAACCCCTAACACTTCTTTTTCCGGAGAAACATTGCTGAAACCTCTGGTGGTCCATGAGTGAAAGGGTGTGGGAGAGCGCTGGATGTGGAGATGGAACCATGGATGGACCAAACCATGCGGAGACTGGAGGTCGGGAAGTGTAACAGGGGTTTCTATCCACCGCAACAGTCCCCCGAAAATGGGCGGTTGTCCTCTGTGTCTGGTGGTTCCAAAAAGTGATGTTTGAAGTGACCCAATGGGCTAATCTGAAGTGACCCAATGGACTAATCTGACTAATCTGACTAATCTGACTAATCTGACTAATCTGACTAATCTGAGACTGTTAGAATAGGTTTGGGTACAAAACCTGGTCCCCCCCACCCACCCTTCGCAGAAGCAGCCCGCCTCGAAGGCCTGCCATGGAGTGGCCCAGCAGCTTGATCAGCGGCGGCAGGGCCTCGCGGAGTTCGAGTCCCACGTTCCTGATACGTGTCTTGCTTCGTTTTTTGGATCCTCTGGTTGCTTGGCTTAAAGTGAACCAAGACTGATAGGTGCAAGTGCCAACCTGACACGAGTTCAGGCACTGGTGGGGTGACAATCCCTATGTGAACCAAAAGGAAACAACCGGTTTTTGGTTTGGGTCCCCTACTTTGAGGCTGGTGTCACCGTTGCTTCGACCTGTTTGCCAAACCGCAAGGAGGTCGTAACGCCCATTTTGTCCAATTTGGATTTTCTCAAAAGGAGATTCCTCTTGTGAGGGTTTTCTTGGATCCACGTGACGTGGGGGCTTTTCAAAACTTGGACTCCCTTTGTAGCCAAAGGGAAACCAAAAGGAAACCAGAAAAACCGACCACTACTTTGAGAAATGTTGGTTTGGGGATGTGAGCTTGAGTTTTACCGAGGAACCCTCTACAGTGTGGGGATTATTTACCACTTTGAGGTTCCAACTCTTAAAAATCAGGGATCCGAACATTATGCACCTGAACATTGCCTTGTAAATGGTGGTTTCCCTTATTTTGGTGGAAAAAGCCATGTGTTAAATGGGCAAAATGTATCTTTTAAGGAGCCCTGGAAATCTCCGGGCCAAAACCTCCCACTGAGTGGTGGGCGCCGGCTTCGAAGGCCGCCACCGAGTTCTGGCCTCGCGCTAGTGGCGCGCAAACGGGCGCGCGTCTCCCGTTCCGGACACGCTGAGGCCGGTCCCCTGTAACAAGCCAGGCCTTCACCCTCGGAAAATAGAGGGACCCCTGGAATAGAAAGCCTCTTTCAGGGGCTCCCACTATTTCCCCATTCTGCAAACCAAAAGGGCTTGGGCACTGCCCAAGTGAACTAGAAAGAACCACTGTCTATTGCTCTCATTTGGCCACAAGACAGACTGACAGGACCAGTGCCATAGGCTATAAAAACCAGAGCTGTCCCAGCCCCAAGAATCATTGTGGATCCTCCCCATATTGCAAGACTACTAAGGGAGCAACAGGGGGCAGGTGGTCGAAGCGCATGCATCAAAACCAAAACCCCACGCGATCCATCTCGGGTGCCCCGGCGACTCTCCTCCGTGAGATATTTCATGGCCTCAGCGAAGGCGCTGCGAAACTCCGGGCATTCACCGCCTTCAATAAGTCTTGGGCGTGTGCGGGCATCACAAATTCTCCAAGCGCGGAACCTGAGAGTTCTCAGAGAGTACTTTCGTTTTGGGGCAACACACTGCGGTCAAGAGGAAACTCGCCGACAAATCCAGTTCCAGGCTGTGTAAGCAAACCCCAAAAAGCTGCCGGATGCATGAAGCACTATTAATACTCTGGGATAAATGACCTACCGATGAAGGGTTTTGTCCATCCACAGTAGGGATGTCGCATTGGTGAGAGGCATGGGCCCTCTTAGATCCTATGAATCATGAATCGACTCACGGATTGGACCAAAACAGTCCACTTGTTGTTCGACACCCCGCCCCCCAACAACAAGTCCCCCCCACTTGTTCCCCCACTTGTTCCCCCCGAACAACAAACTTCGTGTGGTTGCTGAGATACTGGAGTATTCAAAAAATGTCCAACCCCTTGTGGATCCGTAGGAAGTAATCAATTGTGATGGGTTCTTTGGCTCTCAGCCGGCCTATGGTTCCGTGAAAGCCGCTCAACTTTGGACAGGATCCCATGGGTCCCGGACGTGCGGAGGAAAAACAAAAGCTCTGTTTCGCCCAATTCGTTAAGCAAAGGCGCGCATGCCAAACGTCGCCATGTTGGGCCACAATTCTCGATGCTTCCAGGGGGTTACCCGAATCCTTTCAGCCCCCTCCGAACCTTTTACTCCAAGACCACCCTAAACCCTAAACCCACCCTGAAGCCACCTTAAAGCAACACTAAACCCACACTAAACTCTTCCTAAACCCACCCTAAACCCGCTATAAACCAGCTTTAAACAACTCCAAGCGCAAGCCCTCCAGCAAGCCCTAAACCAACCCGGAACCCACCGTGAACCAACTCTCATTTCTGCAGGGGGTCTATGTTGATTCCTCTTTCGGGGTTTCGCATACAACAAAACCAGAAGGGTTTTACATGTGGATTATGGGGTCACCCTGCTCAGGCGGCCCAGAAAACAAGATGCTGCGTGCAAAAAAACCGAACCCGCGTGCCGCCGAGACGACAAGAACGAGACGAGTCTGAGGCTCCAGCCACCACTGCGGCCTGCATTCCGTCGGAGTCCTTGCATGGATCGCTTTGGGCGCTTTCGATCGGCTGAAGGGACGCCCCCGTTTCAAGTGGTAACCCAGAAAGGTCCTCCTTTTGGCCCCCTGTTTCGTGCATGTTCCATGTTTCGGCCCAAACCTGTTTCATGGAACTGCTTGGAGTTTTCTTTTGGCCCAAACATCTGGGGCATTGGGGGACAGCTTCCAACCCCGAACCGATCTGTTCTTTAAGCCCCGATGGGCAACAAGTTGGGAGTCAAAAACACAGGGTCCCCGTTGCTGGATCGACCGAAAAGGCTTGGAAGTCGCACGAAGAAAACCACTCTCAGTGGCCAAAAAACAAAAAACACGGGGGGACAAACAACAAGACAGGCTGGGGGTCCGGAAACGCGGAAACGAGAAGCAATGCACCTGGAGAAATAACCAAGCAATGCTTGACGCGGACGGGTGCGAAGGCGCAATCGAGCCCGTAAATGAATGGGAGAAAGGGAAATCAACTAATGAACAACGTCCAGGTGGTTTCCTTTAGAAGACATTCACAAACTAACGCTTACCTAGGCCAGGACCCCTGTATTGGTGCATTTACCCATTCAGCACGATGGTTTGTTCCCCTTTGACACCTCAACAAAAGCAAGTTCCCGATGTTGAGACAGAGCCCTTTCAGCGCCTCAAAGAGCTCGCAAACGGCCCTTCAGGTTTGATGGGATTCCAAGCCATCTCCTAACTCCTACCCCAGCCCTTAAGGGAACTAGGATGAAAGTAAACGGCACAATTCCCCTTCGGAAAGTTTGGCTGCCTAAACCATGCTGGAATTATGCAATCAGTTGCACCCGACTGGATGAGGATCACCTCTCGGGATCAGGCGCCGTTGATTCGCAGCACTTCGGTTGCGCTTTTGAAGCCTTGTCATGCTGCAAACGCAAACTCAGGCTATCAACAATAGTAAATTGTTTGGGTGTGAAGTCTAACAGGGGACCACTTGGTGGACAGTATCTTTCCATAGGCAATTCATGTCCGCCGAACTTGTTGAGACTGTTCCAACCATCAAACATCACAGCCATTTAACGACACCAAAATGGGTGGTTTCTCTTTTGTTTCCTTAAAACCACTCCAAAAAGGATATCCAAACAAAGGTACACCCAGGTGTCTCCAAAAAGGACACCCAGATACACCCACTTGCCACTTGAGTGTGTTTCTGGTGAGGCTGGCACCGTTAAAGGTTGGCTCAGGAGAACAGGGAAACCAAATCCTATCTTGTGTGTGTGTCTCTCTCTTTTGGTCACCCCATTTAGCCACGACCGAGGAAATAAGCCGCGCCGGTCCCTGGACTCCACAAGCCGCGCCAAAGGAGCAATGCCGCCTCGCCGAGTCGCGGGTCGACCCACGTTGACTTCAGACAAATCCGGAGCGTTCGTATCAGGGCGTGGGTCCGTTTTAGAGGAAATGAGTTCTTTCTAGGAGCATCCGAGTGCTCCTGCAGGTACTGGGCTGGTAAGCAGGCAAGGGGTGCGATCTCCTCGGACTGTCGGTTCCATGTAAACCGGCTCTTGGAGATTTGGCCGGGCCGGAAGCGGCCCAAAGCACAGGGCTTTACAAAACCCAGGGTTGTGGGTTCCAACGCGAACTGCTTGGGTTGACCAACTCAAAGGCGATTTTCATGGCGACGAACTTTGCTTGGAACTTGGAACACCTTCGAACATGGTGGACCTAGATCCGGAGACTTGTGACCAAGGAATCTCCAACATTCGTACCGGCCTTGGATTTGCAATGCCCTTCAGCTTTGAAAATGAGTGCGCGGGAAAAGGGGAGGAAACCACGCCCACTTAAGAAAGAGCCTGTGGGGGCAAAAAAAAGTTCACGCCTGTGCTCGGCTGCAGGCACCATGTTCTTAGAAAGGATGCTTGCATGGTGGAAAATGGCAAAAGCAACATTGGATTCCCATGGTATCACAGCAAGTGGCCCTGAAGCCATATTTCCACAACCATCCTGAAACTGTTCTGAGGGGTAGCGCTGTCCTGATGTGTCTCCTGATGGTAGGGATCTTGGTTGAAGGAATCGATCCTTCCAAACGACCAGCATTTCCTATCAGTTCATTCCGCAAGCAAAAGAACACAATGTTGATCGCTCATATGTTCCCCTCCGCAACAAAATGATCCTTGACCAATAGGTCTATTGCAAGCCAGGGCAACTATGCTTGGGCCAAACTGGTCAGCATGAGTTTATAGCACCAGAGGATGTTCTGGAGATTCGCAAATCCTTTGGTTAAATGCGTGTGGCGCGGTCAAAAGATCGATCGCTCTCGTGCGTCTACTCGGAATGGTCTAAATCCTTTGATGCAGGGATTGAGACTACCAGCACACAGGTTCGTATGGAGGAGAATCATGACCATGACTAACAGGAGTTTCGACCATGTCACGTGATTGGTCAGCCTCCCGGTCCTAACCAGGGCTCTTCCATCGTGTGGCACCATATCACGTAGCGCTATTGCATGACTTTTCTGAACCACTGACTTGTGTGTAGCGTTGCTCGCTTCGGAACCAAGAGTGCGTAGTTCTGAGCCCTGAGACAAAAGACTGCCCGAACCCTCCCTGGAAGAAAAAGACACTCTATAAGGGCCTAAATCTAATGGGGTCGGGTACTTCAAGTTTAAAGTACCAAACTAGTCAGGATAAAAGAAAAAAGACCATATGTAGTCACCATATGTAGTCACTGTAGTCACTCTGCCCCTGGGCAGGGATTACACGATGAACTCCGCTGCTTTCTGCTCGCCGACCCCGCCTGCTCTCCCGATGTCCTCGCGCACGCTGGCGTCATCCTGCGAGCGTGACTCATGTTCACGTGCAAAAACCCTGAAAGCAGGGGGACAAAAGTGAAACTCGCTAACCACAAAAACGGAAAGGAAACACATCGGGAGGAAGTCTTTCACTCACCCCATGTCTTGGCATGCCAGGATGCATGTTTGAGCATCGGAAACTGCCAGAGGTTTGGCCTCAAAAAACTTGAGCTAGGAATACCTGAGGCCTGCATCAACCTTTCTAAGCATTGCTAGAACCAAAGGTCCAAGGGGTTTGTAGTGCTGCTCACAAGAAAGGCCTGACCTACAAACCTGGAGAAAACTGGGCAGCCTAAGCCCTAAGTGTAGAATCTTGGAAAGGGGGCTTGGGTTGCGACTTTTTTTGGTTGGCATGTCTGGTGATATTTGCGCTGTTTGTGGTTCTTTCAATGACCCGCTGACTCACTCAACCCACTGAGTGGTGTCTGGAAGGCGTGTCCAGTACTCCGCGCACAAAAGTTCCCAAAATAATACCAGTCAAAGGTGCCCAAACCTGCAAATGCGCTTCTAGCCGTGCCTCTGCAGACGCTGCACGCCACAACAAGCGTTGGTTGTGCAACATATCGAAGAGCCGTCACAGCTTGCGTGGTGCTTGAAGGTCGTCAACTTTCAAAACACACAAATGCCTGGCGCGAACAACTCGTGTTGAAAGAAGCATGTGCCAACAGCAACACGTGCAAGAGTATGTTGACTCCAGATTTATGAACTTGCAGATTCCAACAACACCTTATGATGCAAACAAATCAATGGGTTATTTCAATTGGTGGACCCTCTAACATGGGGAATTCCATTTTGGAGAACCAACCGCGCCCGCAGATTGCAAAAGGTCCTCCCCCACCACCGAGGCCAGTAGTGCCAGCTGCATCGCTGCCAGGGCCCCCACCTTGGGACGGCATTTGGCGGTGCGAAAGGCCCTTGTATCTTTGCAAACCGAGTCGTGGCTTAAGAAAAAATCAAAATGGGTTGCGTTGCTCATTCGGCTTGTTGGTTTCGAATGAACCAGTGTGGTGTGGTGCTATGGCTTTGGCCGGCCGATTGCGCTCCCTTTACAACATCCCCTATAGCCGGAAGTGGGCGCGTCCAAAAACTCCCACGGCTCCCATTCAACCTACAAGGGCAGCAAGGTAACTGTAGCACTCGTCTCACCCATTGACTTTTCGTTCTATTAACATGACAAAGGTTTATGTAGCCCTAACCCTTATAACACCAGGAACCAGCTACTCTACCGGCTAAAAGGAGTTCTTGGGAGCTCTGATGGCCCAAAGGACCCTATGAAACAGAAATACAACGTGTTGCTTGCGAACAGGAAAAATGTGAACTGGACGCGTCGACTCGATTTTCCTTGGAAACCCTTTTAAGATGTTAGGCCTTTTGCGCAAAGTCATGTCCTTTTCTCGAAGGAAGGAAACCAAAGGGAAAGAAAGCACTGGGAATTCTCCCTAGTTTGAAGGGGTAGCTGTTTGGCGCAAAAACTGCTCTCTGTTGCCTGTGACCATTTCCCTCTAAAAGTAACAGGTAGACAAAGCAGACGCCTCAAGCGGTAGAAGGCTCCCCCAGTCTAAGTCCTGCAAATGCTTCCAGCTTTATGCAATGCTTTCGGAAAACCAATGGATCACCTGCCGCTGAAAAGGAACCTATGATTCATCTTGTTTGTTGTTTGCTTGGAATACACTGGTGTACTGGTTTGCTGGCCTGGTTTGCTATTTCACTGTTCTACTGGTGCTAGTTCATCCAGTTCACATCTGGTCTAGTGATTCACCGGCTTACTGGTGTACCCAATTAGCACTCGCCCGTCAATCAACGCTGAAGCGGAGATAGAACACTCGCAGCCCACGGTCGAATGCTGGAAAAGCCAACCGCTTCTTGAAAACCTGTTTGACGCTGCAGTACGGTCTATAGTCGAAATTACCTCCTGCTTCGTTCCTTTCAAGGGTAAAGAAAAACGACGCCCCTCACCTGCCCAGTGGCCAAGGTTTCTGTCGGTCCTTTCAGAACTTTCAACGGGAACCCGACCCAAGGGGAACCTACTGGGAAACTGAGCAAAATGCTCAAAATGCCATTGGACTTTGGAGCAACTGGTCCACATGGAGTTTGACAACTGTCGAACGCCCGGACAGCTAAGAAGGCCGCCGTCCTGGGATCCTGTGCGATCAGTTTTCCATCAGAAGGGCCATGCGATCGGTTTTTGGGTCCTAAATTACCTAAGTGCAAGGGTCTATCCTCTTGAGAATTGGGGGGATTGAATCTTGTCCGCGTCTGCGTTGCCGTGGAAACCTGCATGGAGGCGGAACTTGACAACCAAATCCTGAATCCTAATCCTTGATCTGTAGTCATCTCCATCTGGCATAAAGGAACAAGCATTTTGAACAACAAAGCATTGAAACATTGAAACCAATTGGCGACCCTCCAACCCAAATGGAGGCATGTGGCAGGCCGGCATATTTCAAGCTTCCTTTGAACTCCCTTCAAAGGGGGACAGGGACATGTTGTTTCGACAAATGTTGCCGTGCCCCAGAAGTTCTGACCCCTGCTGAAAAACTAGTAGGGCTCCCAAAGAAGCAAACGAGAAGCTCGATTGGGAACACTTGATCATATCCCCGTGTGGGATCATGGAGAGTGCTGCAAAGGAATTTCCAAGCAGAGGTTTGAAGGGTCAAGATTACCAAGCATCTCCCCAAGTTCCTTGAAAAGGCGCTTGAAGGGTCAGAACTGACTTTGACCTTCGAATGGCAGAATGAGCGGAAAGCAGATGGCACTGCCTTTATGTGGAGAAGTAGAGGGGAGGCCTTGACCATGGGGAAATGTGCGTCAAGTTTCACACAACTGTAAGCCCACCGGGCAAATCATTGTGTCACATCCGAGCCACGATCTTGATTTGTAATCCAAACACACGTTGCTTGAGAAACTAAGACGCACGCAAGTGCCGATTTGGGAATATACCTCAAAAGCCACCCCCGCCCGACCCCTCCAAATGGTCGCATGTTGCTTCCTCCTTGGACAAAACTGGGAATCGAGTTTTGCGACATTCTCGTTTCTTCAATCTCACTCCAATGCCGCGGGCACCCCAAAAGGGAGACCAGGTTGTGGGAATTGCCTATGTCAGTGATAGTAGCCTTTCCCATAACTACTTCTTCACTAAAGTGGGACGTTCCTAAGTGAGATACTAAATGGGAAGTGTCCCAATATCAGAAAAGTAGGTCTGTCTGAGAATAGGTTCAAGCCCTGTTTGGATGGATTGAAAGGGAAGCCGAAACAACACTACCCCCATCTTGAGGGGATGTTGAGAGTCAAGGATTCAAGAAGCCACTTTCTCCCCCAAGTGGGCGCGGGAAAAGTGTGGCTGAGTCAGCCGAGTCATGGAAAACATGCAGGGAAACGTGCGTTCACATGAAAATCATGGCATACGAGTGGTCGACCGAATCTCCAACGTATGAGGCTGGCTGCCTCAACCAAAGGTCAAGACTGCAAAAAGCTACAGTAGGTGACGTTGTGTGTCAAAGCTGGGAAATGGCCCTCTCGCAAGCGTAGAGTTTCAATCCAAAACCAACATGGATCTGAACTTCTGTCCATCGATACAACGGGCACCAAAGTGACACCTTAGGGACTTCCCAGCCACAGGTGCAAAGCCACCGCTTTTGACGGATTGCGGTACCATCCCTCTCGGCATTCTCGCACCTCTGCCCAGGGGTGCTTGGGCTCTATGAGGCTGTCAACCGCCTCCCAAATCCCAAAGGCCCGGGGAGACGGGACTATCTTCATCCGAGCACCCAAAATATCCAGACCAGGCGTCACAGTAACAGTCCTTAGGCTTCTATGACTGTCCTCTCTCTTTGATAATTTGTGTGATATCTGTTTCTTGTCTGGTTGATTTCTGTATCAAAATTGTATCTCTTCATATTGTTTCTATGACTTCCAAGAAGCATAGATTCTAGAAACCACGGAAGGAGCGCAAGAGGCAAGGCAGACGGTGCCGGTTTTCCCTGTGGGAAGACCCAAAATGGTGGGGTTCCCTGCGGTGTCCCAAAATGTTCCCAAGCAAATGCGTGATTTCGCCTTGAATAAACCCCGAAAGGCGGGGTGAAGCACTGCTGAGGGGCTCTGATTCTGGTTAGGTCAGAAAGTGGTTTCGTTTGAGTTGCTCTCACATTGATCATTTAGCTCGGGGATTGTTGGGGATGTCACCTTCGTGAACCCAGTTGAAAGGGCACCCAAGCTTTTCAATGTTGCTCTCTTCCATCCTTTCCTTGACACCCCAACACCCTTTATGGTGTTGGGAGTCAAACTAAAGAGCTTTCATTATGTTGAGGGGTAACTACCCTTTGTCCCTTTGAACCACCTTCAAACCACCATGCAACCTGCTTATTCTTTGGAGGATGTCACTTTGATGGACCCAGTTATATAGGAGATCCCAGTTTTTCCTATTTGTTCAGGGTGTGCAGAGTTTCAGGGTCTTGCCTTACTTCAACCCACTAGGATGACACTCTTGTGGAATCAGCACCTGCGCCTCTCCGATTTCGATTCCAATCGCCTGCTTGGAGTCGAGCAGATCCACCAGAGCACGGAGGTCGTTCCGGTGGAAGGCCTTCACCAATCAAACACTTTTTGGAGTGGTCAATCACCATCTACACCAAGACAGCTGCTTGATGTACCGAAATGGGGCACCAAACAAAACGCCCAAAGCGTAACCTGGCCAGGGCAGCCACAAATCCAGGATTGTGAAGGCGCCACAGCAGTCGCTGTGAGGAAACGTTTGGTGGGAAAATGGGAAGCATCCACCTGTTGCTACAGGCCTGGCTAAAAGTAACCACAAGAAATGCAAAGCTGGATATCCGAACCTTGGTGCAACATTCACAACTCATCGAGGATGTATAAGTTGATCCTGACTGAGGGACCTCTCACTGCCATGGATCCGGCCAAAAATGCGTTCGCGTGTTGTCCACCAAAACCGGTCTTCCCTCTTCCCAAAAAACCTGGAATCCTTAAAGAGCTTTTTGCGTTGCACAAGTCGTCGGAGGGGGGAGGGGTTCGACTGCTTCTGAACGGCCAAGTCGCCTCATCGAAGCGGTCCGCCTCAGCCAACCCCGGTGAGCCGGACAAAAAGACGCGTAGGATCTCCCCACATGAAGCACTCACCCAATAAGCAGCTGGGGTCGTTCAATGCCTGGTTCACTCCCCAAGCATGAACTCTTGACGAGGTAATGGGATGCTGATGATGACCCCCAGATGCAGTTTCCCATAGGCGTCGCAAACAAAATCCACCAGGGCTCTGCTTGAATCCTTTCTTCCATTGATTGGATGCTTCTCATACTCCGGGAGCCGCCAAAGCCGAGCCAAAGGTTGTGTGTGTGTGTCTGAAATTGAAAACCCCTGACAATAACGACGGCTTCAGTTTGGGCCATTCTGAGATAGACCCAAGTTTGCGTGGAAGCGGCCGGCTTCCCTGCAAAGCAGCTTCCGATTCTTCACCCGAGCCAACTCCAGGCACATAGCCCTTTGATCTGCGTGTGTTTCCTAAACCATTAAATGGAAGCCCAAGACCTAAGACCTTGGCGAACCCGGAAGAATCAAACAACCTCGGACCCCCAAAGTTTCGGGGTTCCAGGTTGGTCACAAAGCTATGAATAGTTTCTAAAAGGTTATGCTTTCGATCCGCTTGGCTATGCGAAAGGATCAACTATACTGCCCTCAACGGGAATGCCTGGACAGTTGCAAACTCTTTATATGGGCCCATTCAGTCGCATGTCAAGCGAGTTCGAGGACGCTTTGGCACGGATGAGATCTACAAAGGGTGAGAAAAGCTACCCAGACACCTTGTCAAGAAGCGCAAATTCAGAGTCGCGGTGTGAAATAGCTGTACGGCTGTACGTATCAATTCCACTTGCAGCTGCGCGGCTATTCTGTGGGACATGGTCATGGCTCCCCTATTCAGGGGTCACATGAGCCATTCATGTTCCACCCATTGACTTTTAGCTCTGCCAAAACCTGATGGTGGTTTACACGGGCCTCCAAATTGAGGTTTTGGGCGTCGCTCACAACCACCACTATAACGGGTCTGCCGCCAAAGTCACCCTCCTGGTAGGCCAGGGGTCAGTCAACCCAAGATATCTACATTGTAGCTGTAGGCTCATCTTTCTATCCACTCAATCATCTGTTCATTTGAATGTTTCCTAGGCTGGTTTCCGCTTGGATTCCGGTCAAGACCAACAGCAAAGAACGAAATTCTGATTGCGGGGGAACAGCCATTTGAGCACATCCCTTGGCCACGAAAGGTCAAGCTGATCCACTCAACTAAGCCGCCCACGTCGGGGCCTGTGGAGGTGTACAAGATCCGGAGCTTCGTGCTTACCTGGCATCTCTGTGAAAGGCATATTTGAGTCAGGATCCCTCACTTTAAGCACCCCCCAATTCATAGATACGGGGTCAACAGTACAATGCTCCGAAGCCAAATTGACCATGAACGAACCAGGCAGGTTTCACACTGGACCTCACATGGTGCGTAAGCTAGCATACAACAACTGTCTTGTCTCGGACAATGAGGTGTTTGTGAGAAATTTAGTGAGTCCCCACATGTCGCAGCCAAATTAATCATGGACTACTGATATGTTGACCTCATATTCCGAAAGAAATGGCCCCAGAAATGGCAGGTTCTTTCCGATTTCCTGCTCGAAACTTCTTCTCCTTCCTTTCAAGAGTGTGGTTTTGAGGGACTCCTGTAAGATGGTTCCTTTATCTTGCTTCTTCAAGATTCATGTTTGAGGGACTCATTTCTTTTAGGGATGTTGCAAATGATGATCTTTGCTGGAATTAGTTTTGTGGCAGTATTTTTGTGGCGTTCCTTTTGAGAGATGTTCTGGAATGTTGACAATACAAAGCTGTTTGGGAACCAACCTTGGACTCACATTCAGGTTGTCACCCGCAAGTGGTAGGGTTAAGGGCAATGACCCCGGTGTGTGTGTGTGTATGACTTTGGTAGCCCCAGAAAACAGTCAACATAATGAACTTCGAATCCAACCATGGCAACCCCTGCCACTGGGAAAACTCAGAGCCCCCCCAAAAAAAACAAGCAGCAACTTTGGTAGACATTAAGGAATGCAACATGGACTCTGAATCATGCCGCTTGGATGGGAGCCTGATAGAGGCCACTAACCCAAATGCCGAAATGCGCAACCTCAAAACCATTCCCAAAATTATCCCCAACAACATGACTAGAAAGACACCCTAAAAGCAATCCAGCAAAACATTCAACACACGCCCAAAGGCATCCCCAAAGGTATCCCCACAAACAACGCATTCCCAAATACTTGAAAAAAATACTGTTGCGTACTCAAAAAAATGCACCGGACCTTGGCGTCAGAATCGAGACATCAAAACGACCACCCCCGAAATGCAAATCACAACGACACGGCAACGCAAGAGCGCAAGCGAAGCGAAACGTCATGCAAAGTCTCAAAAGCTACAATGCGCGCAAAGGCGCCATAGCAACAACATTTCGCAAGTCATGACACATCATACCGTTCATACCTTCTGAGCCTTCCCCAACGGCACAGCATTCTCACCTGCGAACGCTTGCGAATGCTTGCGGACGCCTTGCGAGCGAACACACCGACACACAACGCGACGGGGAAGCTCGCCCTGCCTTGCCAAAGCCGTGGGAGAGTCTTCGAACCTGAGAGCCAGCCATGCTCGTTCGACAATGCCCTATTTGCTTGCTTTGTGTATATCGTTCTCTTCCATGCCCCGATTTCTGCTGAGCGTTGGCAAAGTGCCAAGCCAAAAAAGCTTTGCTCCCAACTCAAACACGAGTTCGCGCAAGAAAGCCATCAAATTGGTCCACCTCCTCGACGATTGGGCCGCTTTCAGTGAATTCCGCGGATTAGTACGGTCCTCCGGATGAATCTGAAGTGAACACTACCCTGACGCCAGCTTGTCGCGACCTGTAGCCTGGATGCCCGGCGTTGGCCGGGAGGACCGCGTTGGCCTTGGGCGCGGCTACAAACCGACGGGGCTCGGAGGTCCAACATACAAAAAAAGGTTTTGCCTCTTGCTGTGGAAGACTCACTGACCGCCCCAAGCGCTTTCGCTTGCAAGGCAAAGGTAGGCAGCACGGCCCACAGGCCAAGGCTAAAGGAGGGGGGAGGCACATTGAAAGGGTAAAGATCCAACCCAATAGCCAAGCACGGGTTCATGACTGGAGGACCCTCGATTTTCGCCGCAATAATGAAGAGATTCGCAATGCCTGACTTGGTTGCTGGCAGTGCGGGAAGCTTCAGGCGCACATGAGAGATGTCCCCAACATCCCCCGGGAAACTCTTTACCCGAGGTTGATCTTCGCTTTCTTCGCCATAAAGGCATAAAGGCAACCATTTGCAACCATGTTCAATTCAGGTTCAGAGCCACAGGGCTCTAACGATGGGACGGCCGTGGCCTTGATTGCTCTAGGGCCACTTCAGGGTGGCCAACAGGATTGAAATTAGGAAGTCCCAACGGGGGTTCTAAACTCGGGGATCCTAGTTGAACAAAAGCAATGGAGACCTAAAAAGCTAGTTTGGGGGTCCAATCCCCTCGCATTTTCGGAAACACCCACATTTTGTTCGTTCGGGCGTGAGTCTGAAAGGGCGGCATCCGTTTGCCCAACTCTGTCAAGGCGTTTGCAAAATGTTCATCCGACTGGGTCTCTACACCATCCCATGCGGGCACTGCTTCGTGGTGAGAAGACAAAACTTCGGGCCCTCGACCTTGACGTTGCGAATCATGTTTCGGCTGTCGCAGTCCCAAGAAAGCATCTGAACCCCCCAAAATGGCATTATTATTATTTCCTTTATCACCAACCCGAATAGGGTACCGAGCCTCAAGAGCAAAACACTAGCCATCGGTTTCAGCTAGATCCGGCCAGCTCTGCATCGTTTCTGGGACCGCTGCGATGTGGATCCTGAGGCCGGAAGGGTGACGCACTGAATGGGATACCTGTTTGGGGTTGCTTTGAGGGGGAATGACGGGGAAACATCCACGGAAAGAGACATGTCTCCACGCATCCCTTGCCAAGCCCAGTTCCCAGGTAATACCCCCGACTCGTATACATACACTCATTCTTGACAAATCATTCTCAAGTTCGATCTGCAACGTGTGTCAAAGGCCCCTTTTGTTTTGTTTGGTAGCTAAACTACTCTAATTCAACGAAATCGTTGTGCGAAATGATGCTCGTTGTGAATACTCTACGGAAATCCCTTCAAATGTCAACCGCGGATTAAGTAGCGGCGGGAATTGAGTCGTTCTCAAAGAAGTGAAGAACCCCTTCTGAACACAACACACCCTAATCAATCAGGGTTGGTTCTTCCACGAATCCCAGAAAACCCATAAAGACCACTTCAGTATCAGATCAAGGATGCACACGGACAGGCCAGCTTCCCCTTTGTATTTAGCCGTGCGCGAATTGATGTTCGTTTCCACAGGTATCCGTCGGCCTTTCCATCCTAAGATCTGAGGGCTCATCTACCCACACCCCGGCTTCTTTGGAGGGTGCCCAAAGTTGGTTTACCTTAAAAGAGAGTTTTTGAGGGTACCACTGTTGGTCGTTATACAAAAGAAAACCAAAAGGAAAATCATCATCTGGATCCCCTTACTTTAGACCTTGTATGAGTGCAGTGGACCTTTTGCGCGCCCAGACTGCCTCGCCTCTCCAAGGCCCGGCCATTGGGCTCAGTGCGGTGGGCACAGCACCTGACTCCAAGGGATGTCCGACTGATCTTCTAAGATGGGGGGTTTCCTGAGTTCAATTTTTGGGATCCCTACAAATCCCTAAACTGCGGCTTTCCTCAGAGTTCAATGCAAACGAAGCCTGCTTTGGGCAGAAAGCCCGACATGTTTTTCGCCGAAGACCCTTGCACACGGACTCCCTGGATCCTTTGCGAAAGCAAAAGATGCAGGTAATGCTCACCGAAAATGAAGCTGAGGCCACGGCAACTGTTGAAGGACTTGTCGAAAGTTCAGCATTCTAGCATCGAGATTGCGACTGGCACATTGTCCAGCGACGCGCCGGAGGAAGCTTTTCAGCCAACAGCACAACTGGTTTGCCTGCCCAGTTCAGCAACGAATCAAACCAAAACTGGAGGCTCCAACCTCACCCTGGCAAGGTACCCACGTGTGCGAGGGCGGAGGGGCGGGAGGGGGCCCAAAATTCAGACACCGAACGCTTGGTTTGACCCTGCTGAAACACGAACTCTCCGACGGAAGGCGAGGCTGGAGCGGCTGCGGCAAGCGTCAGCCCAGTATCCTTTTCTGAAGTTGGGGTTCATTGCAAAGTCGCGGAGCCACCAAACTTCCAGGGGGACAACCTACTATGCCAGCGTTAAACCTTTCTTCCCCTTCCATGATTTGTGGGAAAGGGACCTTTGTCTGGAAAAAGAGGCAAACGACCAGCCACGTGTGGCTTCTTGATGGGAAATCAACACAGTGTGCAATCTTCGTCCTGGCTCAAAATATGGAACGCCCCCTTTTCCTTGGTTCCTGTTGGACCAGCCCGAACAAGGGGTTGAAGAGGGGTGTTCCTCTAGTTTGGTTTGGGCATGGCAGGACCCCAGAGCCAAAGGATTGTCGAAATCCTAGGTCAACCATGACGCAGGCAATCCAATCTTTGGACCTTGGCACATTTATGGCTATGCCTCAAAGTAAGGGGGCCGGCCCAACAAGTGGCGATACTCCTGTTCATTTCCCTAAAGTGGTACCCTTAAAAAACACCAACCGTCCTGCTTGAATTATAATTCACCAACCGAACATAGCGGATCCCTGCAAATGAACCTTGATGCGAAAGGTTGCAATGTTTCGAACCTCGGGTTCTCAAAACATTCAGACCCCTGAGGAGAGCCGAGACAAAAAAAAGGAGAGAAAAAAAGAAGAAAAAAGAAGAAGAAAAACTGTAAAAAAAACTAGGGGTCCCTTATTTTGCGCACTCCAATGCTCGGGCTTCTGGAATCCGATCAGACCACGCGCTATCGCCCCCCTTTTTTCGCTAGACGCTGCCGCTTGGCCCTTGGGGCAACGGGCGCCGGGCAAGACCCCCCTGCCATGAACTGCGGCGGTCCAGCGCTATGTGTTTTTTGAGGGTACCCTTTTTACAGGTTTGGTTGAAGCTAAGATTTTTTTCTGGTGGGGGTCCAAATTTTCACACATGCCCATAGGCATGCAGAAAACTCGGGAAATCGTTTTAAGAAACCATAACCACTGACCATATAAGGAGTTTTGACTGTGGCTCATGTGGGAGCATGGGGCAATTTTGGGACGTCTTCAAAGGAAAAGCAAGAAAAGACATCGCTACTGGGGTCACTAGACTTCCCTTGAAAAGACTGCAAAGGTCCGAACAATGGAGAGTTGAGCTCGTTTTTGTGGGTGGGCACTACCAGGGAAGCAAAACATCCCCTACCAATTGGGGTCCAAAACACGACGAGGAAACAATGTTGCCCTCACAAACGTCTGGGAGTGCCAACCTGAGGGGGATCTCGCAAGAAGGATGCGGCCAGACGTGCAAGACTGAAATTTGGGTTCTTTAGGCAGGGGCCAACCCGCTTCCCCAAACAAGAACATTGAGCACGTACAGCCTGCATCCCGCTATGGTGACACATGCGGCCGCACGCCACGATTCCTAAGCTGGGGTGCCAACCAAAATAGGAATTGGACCCTTCAATGATGCTCTGCAAGTCGTAAATACAAACCAAAGCCTCAAATAGGAGAACCACAGGTGAAGGGCCTACATCATGGTAAGCCTGTTTCACTTCCAGGTGAGCTTGCCACAAAATGGGCAGAATGATGGGTTTACCTTGGTTTTCCTTGTGCAAGCAACCAAACAGGGAGTCCCTACCTGAAGTTGAAGCACACCCTACGTCTAGACATGGCTAGATGTCTGGGTTCCTTCTGATTTCCACAGGAGACCCCTTCCAAATTTAGTGGATAGGAGACGCCCATTCATTTTGCCAGAGTTGTTTGCAAACTTCCGTTTGATTGAAGCACCACCAAACAAATGAAATGTCTGCCAACCATGAACATACCAAACTACAGTAGCCCCAACATAGCCGGGTAATATGTGCGTCTACATATCAGGGGTTGGTGGTTCAACGGTTCCTTTTGGTTTCCCTTAAAGACCAACCCCAAGCAAGGCGACCTCCAATCATAAGACACGGACCAGATACGCCTGCTGCGCAGCCTGCTTTCCCGGCCCTTTGCAAGCTTCACCCTGAAAACCTAAATTCAATTGGTGTGACGGCGGCGTGCAAGTCCGTGGGCGTCGTCAATGCAAAAGGGCTCTGGCCACGGGCAATTGCGCAGAACAAGCGCGGCCCGGACTCTCAGTATTCCACATCTTCCCAAGAAACAACACCTCTTAGTATTCTGGTTAAAGGGTAGGGGGGGGCACCTTCCCATTTGTGGCAAGACATCGGGGCCAAGCCAAGGCCACGGTCCTTTTGGCCTTTCGCGTGGCAACGCTCCCACGCTCCCCGAGCCAGCAAAAAAAAGAGCAAGCCGCCCTGAGAGCAGACGCGGGGATGCGAGAGCACGGTGTTCGATAAAATTCACGGAGCCCGTGTCAATGGACCCTTAATCGCTCACTCTCCTATACACATACTCGTTTCAGTTCAGAACCTTGCAGAGCCCTTTCAAATAAAATGTTTTTAAACTAATACAAGTGACTCCATTCTCTAGTCTAGACAGCACTGTGGAATCAATCACAGCTTTGTGAATGCCAAAAAGAGCTCAGCTCTTAGCACTTGTTTTCCTCGTCTTCCCCCAATCTGTAGCCATGTGTTGTTCGTTTGGCCGTTAAAGTAAACCATGTGAAGCGCCAAAGAGCCCAGACATGCCAAGGCAAGTGACGCTAAACCCCAAACAAATCGGTGCAATTTGTTTCATCATTTCCCTCCGGTTCCCCAAGCCACTCCGAATTTCTCCATCCCCGGTCTCAGGTTGGCTTCGAACCCGGCCTCTAGCAATTGGCGGCCTTGGTGAGGCAGTCCACGTTTGCCAGCAGCCTGCGGCACGCCTTGCAGGCAAACACAAAATGATGGCTAAGAAAAAGCAACAAATAAATACCAGGCAGAAATGGGTCCCTTTACAAATACCCAAACAAGTAGCTCTAAAAACGATACACCCAGTTATTGCCAAGCCTTGAATATGAACTGCCATGAAGATGCATTTTGACATGGTTCCCGAGTCTACATTGCCTATGGGTCCATGAAAGTCATGACAGTCCACACCAACTGTGTCACTAACCCCGAGCAAAATGCCGCTTTGACGGAGGCACATATTGGGAGGACTCGCGGAAGGTGTGCCAAAAGACGAAAACCTTCCGATTGAATCCTCATAAAACAGGTTGATAAGAAAAAACCCTCAAAATGTCCCTGAGTAGTTGTCTGGCACCCCAAACCACTCCAGAGCCCTTCTTGGCAGAGACCCCCCCGCTTCCAGCTTTTGGGGAAATGGCCCTTTACCAGCCACTATTGAATTCTCGTAGCCGGGAGGTTCATTGAAATCCAAAGCAGACCAACTCGAGCGGCTCCATGCACCACCACATCCACCTCCAACACGTCGAGTTCTTCCCCCGAACCGCCGAGTTCGCTGGCCTCTGCCCGCTGCGTCCAGCACCTGGACGAGGGGCAAGCTTGCAAAAACGAACTGCTCACTTGCTGAGCGGGCGCAGGTTGTTGTTCCTGTGTTCGGCGGTGCTTTTGGGACTAAAATGCCGTGTTTTGCAGCATGTGTCCAGCAAACCGCACCCGTTTCACACCAGCACCGTCAACATCCCCAGCCTCGTTTTGGACACCCCAGCACGTCTTCAACACCCCCGGCGGATAGGTGTACGGTTGATGTAGGTTGGCTTAGAGTTTGCATTCGGAAGATTTTGGGTTAAGAAAGTGCTGGTTCAGGTTGCAAGGGCTAGGCTAGCGTGGCTTTAGGTATGGTTTATGGTGTTCAGTTTGGTTGGTTTAGGGTGGTTTAGGCTGGTTTAGGGTGGCTTAGGCTGGTTTAGGGTGGTTTGGGGTGGTTCCGGGATCCCGAAGCAGCACTCTAAACCAACCCAGAACTTACACTAACCCCTCACTGAACCAGCCCAAACCTACGGGTTGGTTTGGGGTGGCTAACGGATTGCTATGAGGCTTGTTTAAGGTTGGTTGAGTGCGGGTTTCTTTGGGGCTGGTTTAGGTGGGCTTCGGGTCTAAACCAACTCTAAACCAACCAACCTACCCTATACCAGCCCTAAACCCACCTGAAACCCCGAAACAAGCCTTTAAGGGGCGGGTTGGGCAAGACGGCTTTTTCCCCGCCTCGCAGTCTTCTCCCGGGTCCGGTCCCCGGTGCGCCGCAGCAGGCGTCGCCGGTACCGGCGCCGCTGCAGGCGCTTGGCGCTCTCCGCCAAGGACAGGCCTTCCTGGCCGAAAGCCGAGAAGCCGAGAGCCCAGCGCAGAAAACGGCGCGCTTTTGGGGCAAGGGAATTGTGGTTCTGCAATCTTTCAGATGGCACGTGTCATGTTCTTTAGACCCAACTGGGATAAATATTGCAAACCTTTCAAGTGAACATGGCTGTGCAAAAAGGGGCCAGGCCCTTTCTGTGATACCATTTAGTGGTTGATTCCTCTCCCTATGACTGCTGAGTGTCACGTGCAAGCCCACCAAGCCACACCAAACCCACAGGGACCAAACCCTTTCCATGCCAATGGCTAGAAAAGGCAAAGAGAAATAAGGCATGATTGTCCAGAAGCCCAGCTAGTCGAAAGCCAGCGCGAGGTGAGCCCTTGCTAGGGATCATAGGGGGGGGGAATGCCTTCCCCCCCTTGAACAGAAGCAACGGTGCTCGCTCTTGAGGTTCAATGGACAGTTAAAACTCCAAAAGATCAAAGGAGCGGCCACCCCAAAGCCTACTCATTTGGAAAGGCAGTTTATACAGGGGGTTGTCCTAGCGATGAGCTCACCAGGCAACACGGGTCCCGGCGACCAATGTAGGCAGCCGAGACTTCCAGTGGCTACATTTGCTGGCAACTGGAATCACCGCGGTGTAGGGTCGCAGCATCCAAGCGAGAGACAATACCATTGGCACTCTATCGCCATACTTATTTTGAGGCGGATAGGGGCAACCAACCCACGTGTCCAACAATGCCAGCAGTAGCGACCACCGTCAGTACTTCACCATCAACAGACACGAAAGTGCGCGTTTGGCTTCCTGAAAACCAGAAGGGCTCAGAAACCAAACCGTGTTTGGTAGAGAAGTAACCCCAAGAGCCAATGAACAGCAAATGCCTCAAGTTCGTTCTCCCACAATTGGCCATGTTGAGTCCAACAAGACCTAAAATATGGCACCAATTTTTCCCCGAGCCACACTGACCCAAAAATGGTCCAGCGACCCCGCCTGAGAATCGGAACCCGAGAACAGAGAGCTGAAGGCCTCCAAATCCTGGCAAGTCAAAGCGGGCAAAAGAGCAAGCAACGCATAGCAGAAGGGGACCAGGATGTGTGTGTGTGTGTCAACATAGGGATTTGGAACCTAAAAGTGGGTGTGTTCCTTTTGGTGTTCCCTTTAAACCTGTAAAATGCCCGAGCCTCAACATCGCACACACACACACACATTACATTCAATTAAATTCCATTACACCACGCTACACCGCACCACACCACACCACACCACATCACACCACACTACACTACACTACATTACATTACATTACATTACATTACATGAGATTGCATGCCAGTACAATGTACTTACACAGGCATACATACATGCATACATGCATACATGCATACAAACATACATACGCGTATACACTACATACATACATGCATACATACATACATACACTCCATCACACTACATTACATTACATACAGTACACACATGCAATACAATACAATACAATACAATACAATACAATACAATACAATTCAATACAATACAATACAATACAATACAGTACAATAGAAGAATATAACGCATAACATACCAACACATAACATGCATGCACACGTTGCCTACATGCATGCATGCATGCTTACATACATACAGACATGCAATACTTACATTACATGACATTACACTACATTACATTACACTACACTACACTAACATACATACGGGCCTGCACGCATGCATGCATGATGCATGCGCATACATACATAAAACAAACACACACATAAAGTAAGCACATACATACATGCATGCACGCATGCATGCATTGCAATACATTACATTGCATTACAACACATTTACATGTACATTTAAATTTATATTACATTACGTTAGGCTACATTACATTACATCACATCACATTACATTACATTACATTACATACCATACCAAACCAAAATACACACATACATACATACATACATACATGCACTACATTACATTACATTACATTACATTACATTACATTAGCTTGCGCCTTACACATTACACATTACACGCTGCACAATACAGACGTATATACATTGCATTCCATTACATTACATGACATTTTACTATGCAGTACATTACATTCATTTTCCACTCCATTGCATCACATTACATAATACACACATACATAAATACACTATACATCACTATATTGCATACATAAATACACACATACATACGTTACATTACATTACCTTACGTCACATTACATTACATTACATTACATCACGATACATACAACTCCTCCTTCAAACTCCCTCAAAACCGGTCCAACTCCAGCCAAATCGTCGTTCTTGAAAAAGGGTTGCAACGTTTTTTTAAAGATTGGTGTCTGAACCGGCTTTAGAGGGGATTTGATTGGATTCTAGATGGGAAGTTGCCCGCTTTCTCCTACATACATACATACATGCATACATACATGCATACATACATACATACATTACATTACATTACATTACATTACATTACATTACATTACATTACATTACATTACATTACATTACATTACATACATACATACATACATACATTACATACATACATACATACATACATACATACATACATACATACATACACATACATCCACATACATGAATGCATACATACATACAGACATACACTACCTTACATTACATCACATCGCATCACATCACATCACATCACATTACATTACATTACATACCATACATACATACATACATACATACGTAAATACAATCATACATGTTACGTACAATCATACGTACATACATGGATACATTACATACATTACATACATTACATACATTACATACATTACATACATTACATACATTACATACATACATACATGCATACATGCATACATACATACACTACATACATACATACACTACAAACATACATACATACATACTTACATTACATTACATTACATTACATTACATTACATTACATTACATTACATTTACATTACATTACATTACATTACTGTACTTGACTTTACATTACATTACATTACATACATACATTATATACATACATACATACATTACATTACATTACATTACAGTACATTACATTTCATTACATACATACATACATACATACATACATTACATACATACATACATACATACATACATACATACATTACATTACATTACATTACATTACATTACATTACATACATACATACATACATACATTACATTACATTACATTACATACATACATACATACATACATACATACATACATTACATACATACATACATACATACATACATACATACATACATACATACATACATACATACATACATACATACATACATACATACATACATACATACATACATACATACATACATACATACATACATACATACATACATACATACATACATACATACATACATACATACATATACATACATACATACATACATACATACATACATACATTACATACATACATACATACATACATACATTACATTACATTACATTACATTACATTACATTACATTACATTACATATACATCACATTACATTACATTACATTAAATTACATTACATCACATTACATTACATTCATACATACATACATACATTACATTACGTACATACATACATACATACATACATTACATTACATTACATTACATACATACATACATACATACATACATACATACATATGTGATTTGCATTGAACACTTGTACAGACCTCTCGAGAAGCCACCTTGACTTGAAGCATGTGACTGCTCGTTTCCGCTCAAGGGTGGGCAGGGCAGTGGAGCCTCGACCATGGCAGCGGCGGTGTGAACAAGCGCAGGGCGCACGGGTGAGACAGGGCTCTCTTCATAAGGGACAGGGTCTCCTTCAAGAAGGTCAGATACAGGGTATCTATCAAGGCAGTGATCCTTGTTGGTCTTCCTTTGGTGAAAGGGGTTGCCACCACTTTCACATTGGTAGCGTGAGCCTGAACCTCAAAAGAGGCGGCTACAATTTTGTCTCCGCACTGACGAATGCCTACGGGAGGTCCCGGTGTGGACATCCCAGTTCCGGAAGAAGGAGCTCCTGAAGCACGAACAGCAGCTCAACTGCCATGGAGTGCCATCCCGAAGTTTGTACCTGGGGAAACAAACATCTCTGAGTACAGTCAGAAGCTGAGCTTTTTGGCGGCTGTATGGCCATCTGAGCACATCGCGCTTCTGGCACCTCGAGCAGCTCTCCTGGTCGAAGGATCAGCCTTCAAGAAGGTCTCTCGCCTGGACACGGACAAGCTGAAATCAACAGACACATCAGGTGTGAAGCTGTTGGTTACAACGCTTGGTGGTTCCTGGGGAAAGACCGATTTGGAGGAGCGCTATGAGTACTTCGAGAAGGCCCTCTACCAGACTATTCAGAAGTCGGATGAGAGCAACGACAGCTACTTGGCTCGCCATGATGCTAACTTCGAAGAGTTGCTGGCTAGGTCCACGACCTTGGAAGAAGTGAGAGCCTATGTCTTGCTGCGACAATCCAATCTGAATCCGGAGGACAAGAAGAAGATAGTGGTTGAGCAATCGGGTAAGCTTCAGTATGAGCCGGTGGCCAAGGCTGTCCGATTTTTGGGCAGTCGCTTCTTCCAGGAGTTTCAAGGTGGCCGTCAACCCCAAAGCAAGACCCGCATCTATGACGTCAACTTCACGGAAGGCCCTGAAGAACCGACTTTGGGTTCCTCAGGGGCTGAGCGAGCATTTGCCGCTCAAAACCAGAGTCAGGATGAAGTCGAGCCAGAGCTTGACGCGGAGTTCATCGAAGTCATGGTTGCGCAGGAAGATCAGGATGCCCTCATGGTTGCTGGATTTGAGAACGAGCTCGAGGAGCTATTTCAAGATGTACCAGCCCTTCATGAGGCCATGTCCAGCTATGTGGAGGCCCGGCAGCGCTTGATGGACAAGCGCAAGACACGTGGCTTCTGGCCAGTCAAAGGCCGTGGAAAAGGAAAGGGCTTTGCAGGCTCTTTCAAAGGCAAGGGCAAAGGCAAGCGTGAACAGCTTCTGGCACGCATTGCAAGGAGCAACTGTCGGCTATGTGGCGAAAGAGGCCATTGGCGGGCAGAATGCCCAAATCGAGATCAAGGCGAGAAGAAGGAATCCGCCAACGTGGCCATGTCGGCCACGGTGGCTTCGGACAATGAAGTCGATGAGGTCTTCGAAGAGCAGGATCTCCCACAGGACCGACATCAATCGAATCCACAAGAAATCACATATGAAACCGCCTTTGTTCTCCACCTTGTTTCTCGTGAAAAAGCACAGCAAATGGCCAGTAGATTTTTGCATTCATTGCCCAATCCCCGAAGATATCACCCGTCAGGATTCGCCTCCAAAACAGCGGACACTTGTGAGTCCCTGTTCAGGAAGCCACATCGTGAGCATGAGACAGTGATCGCACCCCGAACCGTGGATCCACGTTTTTCCCAATTCTCTGACAAGTGCTGTGCCAGTGAATCCGTGGTCCTCAGCTGTGAGCAACAGGCTCACGCCATCTTGGACACGGGAGCCAGCAGGTGTGTGATCGGCCAGGTGACCCTGGATGAATTCCTAGATCACCTTGACCCCACCATAGTGGCTCAAATCAAGCGGTCCCCAAGCCAAGTGACTTTCCGTTTTGGGAATAACCAGACCCTGTCGAGTCAGCATCGCATTTATTTGCCTCTGCAACACGCTCATAAAGACAGTAAGGTTTGGCTTGCCATTGAGGTTGTACCTGGCCGCACCCCCTTTTTGTTTTCCAAGAAAGCATTTAAGCAGTTGGGTGGCGCTTTGGATACCGCCACGGACACATGCAGACTTGACCGACTCGCCAAAAGTCAAAGACTTACCTGCAGCGCATCCGGCTTGTATTTGCTTGACATGTCCAAATTGTGCCTCACGCCAGCACGTGATCAGAGACCTGCCCACATCCAATTTTGTATGCAAACCGAAAGTGTGAAATCTGAGGCGCCTGACGTGCCGATTGAGCATCC